TAGGAGTTTCCGAAAATAAGGGGACCCTAAGATTGGGGTCCTTATAATAAGGATCCTACTATTTGGGGTACTAGATTAGGGTCCCCTATTTTCGGAAATCCCCATATCCACTTCTGTTTATGCCTGACAGGCCACCATTGCACGTGCTTGGGCAATCTGGGTAAGCCCTACCGCCCTGCACCGCCTGCATGCTTGTGAGACACCCGCGGAAATCAAACCCGCGAACCTACCAGCAAGTAGGTCATGGTGGGTGGATGGGCTCTTGTTAAGGTCTGCATATACAGAGTACCGTAACAAGAAACCACATTACTCACCGCCTATCCCTATTCCTGTAGCTTGATGAAGATTCTTGCAACCAGCTGAAGCCAAATCGAACCGTACACAACCTTCATTGTGGGAACTTGATTTGATGTATACAAGCTTTTTCAACATGACAGAACTCGATACTCCACGCCAGATTTGGCAACCCGCCACCTCAAGCTCACGCCGCTCCGCAGGCTCTGCGCTGCCCGGATGTTGGCCATTTTCTCAAACACCTTGGAAGGATTTCGGATGTAGGGGCTGAGGAATCCAGGTTTGAGGGTTCACAGGGTTCGGTCTAATTTACTAATGTAGGGAACTAAATAATTACCTATCCTTCGGGGGCCTTTATGGGTTCCTTATTATAGTTATAGTATAACATACCCCAAAGCCCGATTCTAAGTATTAAGGCCCATATATTAGGGGCTTTCGGTTTGGGATCTAGAATGCATGTGTCAGGATTACCTGTGACCGAGACGACCTACCTTTTCTTGAGGAACTATGTATGGAAACCTGAATAAGGAACCCTAAAAAGGTCGAAGACCTACCTTTTTGATAAGGAATATATGAAGGAACCCTAAAAACGTAGAAGACCTACCTTTTTAATAAGGAACTATACAGAAAACCCGTAATAAGGAACCCTAGTAAGGTAGGTCATGTCGGCTAGGGTCTCAACGATGATGGCTTTCCACGTTCAACTCTCAGGGCGTGCTAGTTCAGGAATTTAACAAATTGGGAAACCCTGCTAGTTACTGTAGATCCCTACGATTGTTTACTTACTTACACGTTCCCGTTTGACAAGAACCCGGTACTGTAATCCCCACAGACTTTTTTGCATTCGTGCCGGCCCGTCGTTTAGAACACGCATGGCAGGTGTTTGGCCAAGGAACAGCTTTTCTTCGCACAAGTCTCGGGCCAGGGTCTACAAGAATATAATAGCCACGGTCTACAAGAATAGAATGGAATGCAGATCTCCAGTTTTCCAGCTACCCTTTATCCTACTTACACTTCGGTTTTTTATAAGGAGGTCCAATCAATGACAAGGACAAAAGTTTAAAAGGGTACCAGCTTCTTGGGACTGTACTAGGAGACCTGTATCTCAAAGCCCTACACTACATCCACACCTAAACCCGCCCCA